CCAATGCAGGCAGGACTGATGTGTGTCTGTTGTGTCCCAGTCTTCCTCCTGCCCACCTGTCGGGCTTGGCACCACTCAGCACATTGGGGTGGGCTCTCTGCTCTGTGCACCTGTGGGACGGGCTGACATTGGGTCACCCTGGAGCAGTGGCCAGCAGGGCCCAGCACTTAAGGAATGTACACGTGGCTGTGCAGATGCAGAGGCTGCCTTGAGGCCACCGAACGTCCCAGGAGGAGCTATACAGAATGAAGTACTAGATTGAATGAGGTAGATCCCGCCATGCCAGCTCAGATGCATTTGTACCAATTAGAAGAAGGCACTCCTCCTTACACCTGCCTGCCATCTGTCTGAGAAATGTTGTAAGCAGTGCTTATGTCTGTATTGTCTGTCTTGTGAATGGTGGCCCCCCCAGAATTGAGCAGTGCACAGCTTGCTCCTCTGAGTCCATTGACCTCATATGACCCCAACCACAGGGCAAGAATCCCAAGGTGCTTGTAGTGTTGGACCAGCACAGCTGGGGAGGGAGAGGCTGCAAGAGGAAGGGCTGCTTGGTTTTCTAGCCTGTTCCTCCCCCTGCTGTTTGGGTGATGCCAGTCATCGGCATCTCAGGCTGGGTGGGCTGTGCAATCCTGCTCCAGGGGTCACTGCCATTTGCCAGGGCAAACAGTCCCCAGAAAGTGACTGTGCTGTCCCAGCATGTGGTCCTGATTGGCATGGAGAGGGGTGGGAGTCAATACCCGGCTTTGTTGCTGCCTTTCACGAAGTGCCTCAGTCTCTCCTCCTCCTTTCCTTTTTTTAAACTGGGGGAGGGGAGAGGGAAGAGGCTCCCTTTGATCTCAGTGGAGGAAAAATGTCTGTTCTGTTCAGGCTTTTGGCTAACACAACAAACAGTGTTTAAAATTTAACTTTGCTTAATTAATTAGTAATTCTGTTTAATGCTGTCTGATCTCCCTCCAAAAGGTATTTTGAAGCTTGAGCAGGGAACATCAAAGGGAGCCGGGTGAAGATGGTCAAGTAATGCATTTAATCTGGCAGTTGCTGGGGGTGGAGAGCAGCCAGGTTGGGAGCTAATATGGAGAGAGGCAGCGTTTGGTAAACACAGAGAGCCAACTCCTGGTGGCCATGACTCCTTGTGGCTGTGACCATAGTGTAAGGAGGGACAGGGAGTAGTTTCCAAAAATAAAGAGCTCCACAAACCACCCCCAGACTCACCTGGGCTGAGAAGCAGCTTTAAGAAAACAGAGTTGACATCTTCCTTCCTCCACGGCCACTGTGGATAGTTGGGCAGGTCATGTATTATACAAGGATTTCTAGTCAAGTAAGCAAGTTGTAGGTGAACCCCACTTTGTGCCCTACCATCAAGCGTGTCCTATGGTAGGGGTAGAGGGTTGCATTTACCTAAAACAGCCATCCACAAACTTTGGGAAAGGACCAGAGAGTACCTATCTTAGGCTTCGTGGGCTGTTATCTCTAAGCTTACAAACTGCTGTTGTAGAGAGAAAGAAGCGAGAGACAATGTGTAGAAGTGTAGCTGTGTCCCAGTAAAACTTTCCTTACAAAACCAAGCTATGGCCTGGGTTGGCTCCCAAGACATAAGTTCCCTGCAGCTGCTCCATGTCACCCACAGGTGCCTGCTAGATGAGTAGAAGGGTTTGCTTCCTCCTTCTTCTGTTAACCTTTTCCTTGCTTTCCTTTCTACTTTCTCACTGGTTGGGACTCCGGCAATCAGTGTGCCTTGCAATTGAAGCATGCTTGGGTGCCTGAGAGACCATCTCTCAGAAAGACACAGTGCTGGGCCACGCAGGAATAAGAGGCACAGGGTGGACTCGAACTCCAGTGCCAACAACATATCATTTTGTCCTTGGCTGGTGTGACTCAGGTGACCTACAGTAAGCACCATCCATCCATGCCACCCACCCAGGAGCTGCCTGTGATGTATGGGGGTGATGCACTCTGCACAGGGCTGCCACCTGCCATGGTTTGGTTTCAGAAGGTTCATCTGTGGATCATAGACAAGATGCCCAGAGTCCTAGTCTCTGCCTCTGGCATTGGGTCTACATGGCTTTCTGTTGGTTCTCTGCCATGTCTTCTGGCCCTGGAGCAGGGGACACAAGAAGGTGAAAGGCCTTCTTTGATGGAGACAGAGGATGCTGACTGTTCCTACCCTGACCCTAAAGGCCAGCAACAGGCCTGTCTGTGCCTAGCCGAGGCTGGGAGAGCCCTAGTAGGTTCGCTGAGCACTGGCTGCCCCATGGGTATCCGGATGGTTTTTGGTCTGGATGTAATGAGGGACCCTCTGGAGAGAAGGGGACAATTCAGGCCATGTGGTTGGTCTTTGGAGAAGACACATGAAGGGTAGAGGGAGATGTTTTCCACCACCCTCAACTCCCCTCCCTCCACCGCTGGGCAAGGAGAAAGGAAGGGAGGGTACTCCAGAGCTGGAGAGAACAGGTTCCTTGTGTTGGGGTTTTATCAAGCAGAACATGACAGACAACATTGAACCTGAGGTACTTGTCTGATAACTTCCCTTTGAACTTGCAGTTTGGTTTCAATGAACCAGGCTGGCTTGCATCTCCAGCAGGACCTCTGTGGGGGAGGTAGGGGCTTTGAAGGTGGATCTGGCTTTGTTTTTCTTTCTCCTTTCTCCTTGCTTCTTCTCCCTCTTCTGGAAGGGATGAGTAGAGGATGTTGCAGGTCATGACTTCTGGCTTCTTTAGTAGGCACTTGGGAGTTAGGGAGAACATTTGGATCTGGGCTACTAGCTGGGCTCGTGGCTCAGTTATAGTCTTTGCAAAGGCAGCATTTATTGAGCACTTACTGTGTGCCAGTCACTGTTTAAGTAAGCAGTTTCCTCATTGAACTCTCCTGTGACCTTCCTGTCCCCACACTATCTGTGCTGGGAATCAGCAGTCCTGTGAGGGAGCTACTATTATGTCTCTGGAGGTGGAAGATGACTTGTTTAAGGCAACCCCCAATACCCCTTCCCAGCTGGGACACTCCCACGCTGCCCAGCCTCCCCTGCTAGAGAGGTGGGAAACTTCCAGAGCTGAGGGCCTCAGCCAGTGCTGAGAATGGAGTTCTGGCTTGTGGGGTGATGGGAGGGCCACCTGCCTTGTTCCCTGTATGGACCTGTGGTGGAGGGTGCTGTGCCTACCAGGCACCAGTAGAATTTGGACAAAGGAGTCATGCTGCTTGTCTGTCTTTGTCCTTGTCACCTGCCTGGCCTCTCCTGGGTGCCCAGCATGAAAGGGTTGGCTCTTGAGGAGCAGGGGCAGGACTTTGTGTCATGGACAGTGTCAGAAGCAGTAGGGTTCAGCAACCTGCCCAGCAGTGAAGGGGCCAGGGACTCACGGCTTCCATAGGTGGTAGCTGGTCTTCCAGCTTTGGACTTCTTGGGCCTCATTTTGCATAGCCACCAGGGAGAAGCCCGGGTTGCTGGTGCTCCTGATGGCATTAAGGAGCTGTTGCCCTGCCATGTGGGCTGAGGGCTGGAGGCACCCTGGGTGTGCCCACTGCGCTGGGGAAGAGAAGGCTGGAGCTGCTGTGTTGGGCCAAAGAGTTGCTACTGTGGCCTTCGGGAACATTCTTATGCCTCTGTTTTCCCACCAGGAAAATGAGTTCGTAACAGTATCTGCTCAGAGGGTTGCAGTGAGAACAGAGTCTGTGAACAGCAAGCGCTTGGCACTGTGAGGCCTGGCGCTGTGCAGGCTCACTGCCCCATCTCTGTGTACACACAATGGTACCACAGTTCCAGGGTGCCACAGGGAGCACTGCATGCAACTGTTAGGAAGAGAGCTTGACCCACAGGACAGGAGCAAGTGGAGGAGAAGGGCCCCCACTTCCCAGGGGAGGCACCCCATGTCACACTCCAGTGGTACTCTTGGGTGCTGGTCTGCACCCAAGTGAATGGGGTGGGGGTACAGATGCAAAGCCCCCTCCCAGGTTCCTGCCCTATGTCACATTTCACCAGATGCATGGCATCCCAAGAGAGTCCAGCTGTGTCCTTCTGTCTGGGACATTTCAGCTCCTCACATGGCCCTCAGGCAGACTGGCCGGTAGGAGACATGCTTCTTTTGTTTATCTGCAAAATAGAACAACAAAATCACTGGCCCAAGGTGTCGGAGAGAGTTGCCGAGAGCGCGTTCTGTCAAGAAGAAGGGGCCAGAGCAGTCTTATGGCACATCCCAAGACTTGGAACCTTATAGCCTGGGTCTAGGATGACCGTGCACAAGGCTGCCTTCTGCCACCTCAAAAGGTGTACACAGGGAATGGTGCCAGCAGCCATGAGATTCACATCCTCTTCTGCTCCTGGAAGGACACTAAGGATTGTGGCCTTTGGCAAAGGGCACAAGAGGACCCCAGTGAGCAGAGGACAAATGCATGGCACAGGGTGGGTGTGCTCACCAAAGATGCTGTGTGTGTGGTGTGTGTGTGTGTGTAGGTGTATATGTGCTCACACACACACACATGCCCCTCATCAACCCAATTGAGCTCAGTTTCTGTCATTTCCCCTTTAGCACTAATGTGCTGTGTGCTGGGCCTGAGCAGGTGACATCATTGAGGAGGCCAAAATGTCAGCAGAGAAGTCAGTGAGGCTGAGCAGAACATGGTCATGGTCCCTGCACTCTCTCTCTGGGCTCCCAATTCTCCCCTGTACCCTCTCCCCTGTTCTGTGGCCTAACTCTGCCCCAAGTGCCCATACACCTCTCCAGGACACCAACGGTGCAGGCTGTTTATCTGGGCCAAGTGGGGGATTCAAGGGGCCCACAGTGGAAATCTGATGGTGTGGATGCACCCTGGAGCAGTACGAGGGCTCCCAGGAGCAGCCTTGGGCATTACTACGGCTGAAGAGTAGAGAGATTTGGACCCCAGTCACCTGGCAGGGTGGGAAGGGCCCAGCATTCTGCAAGGATGTCCTCTAGACCCAGCCTAGGGACACAACCACTGCTGCCCTGCACCTGAACTTCCCTCTCACACTTTTTCACTTACCTGCCTCACAGTGGCCCTGCCACCTGAGAAGACTGACGGCCTGGGCAGCGGAGATGAGAAGAGGATGGAAAAATCCAGCGAACCTTGCCCAGCCTCCAAGAAGCAACTGAAATTTGAAGTAAGTCTCCTTTCCTGGTGCTGGACCTTGGGGAGATGAGATGGTTTTCACAATGGTGCTCTGCCAGGCAGGAAGGTGATGTCTGTCCAGGCAGGAAGGCCCTTCACATCCTGCGTGGATGGCTACCCTTTGTGGGAGATCCCTCCGGCTGCTTCTGGGGTCCCCGAGGACACAGCACTGCCCACCCCTTTCAGCTCAGCTCTGGCCTGTCCAAGTGGGTAGTAGCCAGAGCATCTTCCTGGGCCGGGCCAGGAGTCCAGGAGAGGAGCATGGGAGTGGATGCGGAGAGAGGACTGTGGCCCTGCTGCAGCCATTACATTACTCTCTGGGCTCAGTTTCCTGAGTTCCCTTCCAACTCCCCAGGCTGATCTGAAGGACAGGGGCCTCAGATAGGATGGCTGAGGCGAGGCATAAGACTATGGGCAGGTCCCTGACTCCACCTGGGCCTCAGTGGTCAATATAGGACTGTGTTTTCCCAGAGCTCTCAGTGTATCTACCTGCCTGCCCTGCCCCCAACAGTGAACTGAGCTCCTGCACTGAGCAAAGAGCCAGTGCTGAGGGCAAGACCCAGCACCTGCATGGAGCTTCCTGGCAGCGTCTCACCCTCACGCCCTCCCTTCTTTATCGTCCTCCCAAGACTGCAGGGCATAGCTCTAGAGTCTGCACTGTGGCTGTGACTTTAGAAGATCCCTTCACGTCTTGGTCTTATATGGGCTGTGGGGTTAGTGCTGACACTGGCTCAGGGGTACTAGGAGCATCTGGCTCTCCTGCACCTAAGTGCCCAAGAGGGCATCAGGTATGGCCACATGTCCTCCTTCCCACTGGTGCCTTTGATCAGCACCTGCCAGTTGCCAGGGACCCATCAGTAAAGTGACCATGGTTCTTGCCCTTGTAGACTGAGGATTGTGGGCAGGGGGACAGATGAGTGACCCAAACCCAGAGACTGCACAGCCTGTGATGTGATAGGGATGAGGGGGTACAAAGGCCATCACCAAGTCAGGTGACATCAGTTGACCAAGTCTGAGAGAGTCTGCGGGTAGGGCCTGGGGCAGTGGCAGAGCTGAGCACTGAACCTCTGAGTGTGGGAGCAGGAAGTGGGGAGGAGGCACAGGGAGCCTCTTGGATGCAGGGGACATATCAGGCAGAGGGACCGGTAGGAACAAAGGCCTGGAGGCTGCACAGAGCCCATGCACTGTGTGCAGGAATCACAAGCTGTGTGTGTGGCCTGCACAAAGATGGTGGATATGGGGGCAAGACCACTCATGAGGAGCCCTGCCTACAGGAGCTGAGGGGGAACAGGCACTGTCTACTTGAAGGGCTAGGGCTGCCTACTTCTGCCTGGAACTCAACCCTGCTCTGAGCCTACCTGGGTCCCTGTAGGGTCTTCTAAGTGCCTGACAGAGCTGTGGGCCAAGCCTAGTGGCAGAGTGAAGACCAGACTCAGGCATCCTGCTCCCTGGATGCCTATTTCACAATCCATCTGACTGATTGCTAAGGACTGAGCCATGGTCCAAAAGGAGAAGTTGCTGTGCACTCCAGGTGGGAGGTAGGGGACAAGGAGACCCAAATCCGACAGATGGGGCCAGTCACTGGACTCATGCTTCTTACTTTACCCAAAGCTGTCCTGGAAACAGGTGAGTTGGTGTGTGATGCATACGTGTAGATGTGTGTGTGATGTGTGTGTGATGCGTACGTGTAGGTGTGTGTGTGATGTGTGTGTGATGCGTATGTGTAGATGTGTGTGTGATTGTGTGATGTGTGTGTGATGCGTATGTGTAGATGTGTGTGATGCATATGTGTCGATGTGTGTGTGATGTATGTGTGTGTGATGCGTGTGTGTAGATGTGTGTGTGATGTGTTTGTGATGCGTACGTGTAGGTGTGTGTGTGGTGTGTGTGTGTGATGTGTACATGTAGATATGTGTGTGATTGTGTGTGATGCATACGTGTAGATGTGTGTGTGTGTGGTGTGTGTGTGTGTGTGTGTGTGTGTGTGTGTGTGTGTGATGCATCTGTGTAGGCACCTGGTTGCAGCTTGTGTCATACCACATAAAGTACTTCCTTGGAAAGCAGAGTAGCCCCTAGCAGGTGTCAGGTGAGCATATCACAGCTGAAGGAAGGCTGACTTTGAACTCAGTGTGGGCTGCCCCAGAACTGTAGATCTGTAGAGGCTTCAAGCAACAGCAGCCTGGGGGGCCGCAATGCCATCCTCACTTGCTCAGGCACACTCCTGCCAGCCCTTTTAGGCCAGATCCTTGTCCTCTTGGGGTTCCTGAGCCTGTCCTCAAGCTGAGTTAGCCCGGGTGCCAGTTTCCTGGTGGTAGAAGGAGAGGTCAAATAAGGCAAGACATGGAATAGAATGGTCTGTATTCATAGACTCTTATGTATCTTAAAGACTTGGTGTAGAACCATTTCCCCTAAATAGCTATTATTCTAGAACTGACTGTATGATATTCAGTAGCTTCAGTGTCCAGACCATGGATGATGGAACTACCACTTCCCAACTCAGATTCACACCACAGGTCACTGTGGATAATGATAATGAACTTATACTTGGATTAATCATTACAGCAAAAACACTAACCACTACCATTAATGAATTGGTTCTTCTGTGCATCAAACACACAGTATATAAACTTTTCTTTTTGCTTTACTTCTCCTAAAGTGGCTCTTAGACAAGGATGGAGAATGGGTAGTGTATTTAGGAAAGTGGCAGGGGGCCAGGGGAGGCAGGAGGCAATGAAAGGTGGGTCAACATGAGGCTCACTGGTGCTGGCAGCTGGGGCTTTGCTCCGGTGGGATCCACCCCCACCCCATGAAGCATATAGAATGTGTTCAGATGTGTCCTATGGAGGTGTAGGAGGCTGGGCATCTACCCACCAACATCTGTCCCTTCCTGTGCAGGCTACCTCTGTGTGTTTTATCCCTGCCTTTACAGGGCTGCCTCAGGGCAGAAAAGCAGGGTGCTGAGGAGGGAGGCCAAGGACTGTCCACTCCAGCTGCATGGGGTCTTAAGAGCCCATGGGGTAGGGCGTTTAATCTTCCCAATAATGTTACAGGATAGATATTGTCATTTTCCGTAACTTATATGGAGGAGAAACTAAGGCGGCATCTGCCTGGGATCCCACAGCTGTGGTGGACCAAGCAGGGGCTGGAATCTTGGGTGAACTCTGGAATTTTAGCTCTTAATGCCCATGTTTTGCTGCTGACCAATTCTAGGCATTCCAAGGTCCTGCCTGGGCCTTCCATGTTGCTGTTCCCTGGTGCCTTCCAGCAGCTTCTAGCCTAGGTCCGGGTTTAACCTTTTGGAGGTCACAAAGCCACCTCTCAGAACCCCTTGAATTTCCTTTGAAGACCCAAAAACTGCTGCCACCCCCCCCCCGGGGCCTCTGTTCCTTCCTGGTCATTGTGCTCCTCCTTTGCCCAGGGTCTGGGAGGGCACGAGCTGCCCTTGGTCTGGCCTCTAGGCCTAAGCACCCAGCACCCCTCAACCATTGTTCCAGCTGATACAGTGACCAGCCTGTCTATGTCTAGGAGCTACAGTGTGATGTATCAGTGGAGGAGGACAGCCGGCAGGAGTGGACCTTCACCTTATATGACTTTGACAACAATGGCAAAGTCACCCGAGAGGTGAGTGCCCTGACTTTGCCTTCTGCTACTTGCCAGGACTCCCCTATACTTGGCCTGGGCAATGCTTTGTAGGGAAGGGGTAGGGGGCAGGCACAGAGCCCAGGCCACCACATAAAAAGACCCTGGGCCCATAGAACCTTGCCCCATTCTTTTTCTATGTGGTCCTGGAGATCTAGAGGTTGGGCTGGGCCACTCCAAGCCACTTCACTATTCTACATCCTTCCTAGGAGCTTGGGGTGTGAGGTGGGCACCCAAGGCCACACAGCACCTCCTGTCATTGGCACAGAGACGAGCATTCCACTCTAGGAGCAGCTCTACAGTCAAGCCCTAGGCATGGTTGCCCAGTCTTGTCTTCGTCCTCCTCCTCCTCTGCATGCCGTGACCCTGAGTTCCTCTCACCCCTTCTCCATGCCTGTGTCTTTGCATCTGTGCAAGCTGTGCACCTACTGTGCACCAGGCTTAGGGATACAGCAGGAACAAAACCGACACAGTTCCTTGCCTTGTGGCTCTGACAGCCAGATGTGGGAGGCAGAAAACAGTGATGGGAGGGCCGTGAGCTGTGATGTGATCAGTGAAGGAAATAAATAGGGTGGCATGGCAGCGGCTGGCCTGTGTCCAAGGAAGGTTTGTTGGAGGAGGCAGCATAGCACCAGAATAGAGCTGAGCTTCACTCTGCAGTGTGCAGGTTGCAGAGCCTTAGTGAGGGTGTCCCGGGTCAGGAGAGTGGGAACACACAGGGCATGTAAGGAACTGAAGGAGACTGGCATGGTGGCTGCTTGCTGGAGAGAAGCAGCTGTGGCCAGGGATCTGGTAGGAAGGCTACATGGATTTGACTTCAGGTATAAGGGAGGCCTCAGAAGGCTTGGGATCATTCCTTCTGCCCCCGTTCTCCTTCCCTGTCACACTCTGACATCCTGTGCCTTGTTTTCATATATGAGGCCTGTGCCTTTATGTGGAAGTCTAAGATCAGTATAGCCAGGCTCCATGCCCCCTTGGGCTCAGCACATGGGACCCCTGGGTGTCCCCAAGGCACTGAAGCATGGGTATCTTGTCTGCTCTCCCCACTCACTCAGGGTGAGTATTGTCTGCTCTCTGGATCGTGTAGGAAGTTGCCTTTAAGCTATCAGAGGAAGACTGGGGTTTTAAAGCCCACTTCTCCAGGCTGCAGTTGAGGGGATATTGGAACAGGTCAGGGGAAAAGCTGATTGATGATGTGAAGTTATTCAGGACTCTGTCATGAAAGTGACAGACCCCAGCCCATCCTGCTGCAAGTAACAAGAACAAAAGAAACCTGAAGTTCAGTCTGGGTATTGACCTCAGACATAGCTGTATCCAGATACCCACTGTCTTCTGTACCAGGTGTTCTCGATGGCTGTTTCCTTTGCATTCCCTATAGTCAGGCAGGCTCTCCCCAGGCAGAAGGTGACTGCTGACAGCTCTAACCTGTATCCCATCCTATTAGCAACCAGAACCCAACCTCACCAGCTACTGCAACAGCCAGCCTGGGCTTCTCTGAGTGTGGTCACACCTCCATGTCTTGTCACACATGCAGTGGTAAAGATAACCAGCCCCTCGTAGCTGCCTTTTTTCCTTTCTGGCTTAAGATGCTAAGGAGCCTTACATGCATTTGTCCCCCATCTTGGAGACCTTGGAGGCAGAAACCTGCAGAGCGACACTGCTTTCCGATTCTGTTTGTATCCTGCTTAATGACTTTGGTAATGAGGGGAAGGAGACAGCAAGTGAGTGTGGCTGTCCAGTAGAGGTGGCCCAGCCTAGCCTGGAACAAGTGTTCTCTGGATCATGTCATCCTCCTGTTCAGGAATGGGACATTGCTTTGAGTCTGAAGAACCCAGTTTGGTGTTTCCCCTGGTCTATTTTTAACCCCAAAGCTTGCCCTCAAACCCACCATAAATCCTGTTCCCTCCATTCTTTCTGGCATGGGCTGTATATACACATTCCTGTGTGCCAGAGCAGATGGGACCCACCTCACTGTATCTGCAGCTTGAAGCCAATGTCTGGGCCAACTCTCCAACCCAGAAAAAAGTATGTGTTTCTTCTTTAGGCATTTGTTCACGAAGGAGACATTTATTGGCACCTGTGTTAGTCAGCTTTCCATTACTATAACAAATGCCTGAGCTAATCAACTTACAGAGAAACGGTTTATTTTGGCTCATGGTATTGGAGTCTCCAGACCAGGAACACTTAGCCCTACTGTTTTGAGCTATAATAAGGCAGCACATCCTGAGAGGAATTAATTGAAAAAACCACTCACCTCATGGCTGGGAAGCAAAAAATGAGGAAGAAGAAGAAGGTCCCACATCCCCGTCGGACACACTCTTCTAAGACTCTACTAGCTCCCAGTAGTGCCATCCTGAGGACCAAGCCTTTACCACATGGACCCTGGGGACATTTGAGATCCAAATTAGCAGCCCCTATTCCCTTGTATGTGACCCTGTGTGGTCATTGACATTGGTTGGCAAGCCGGACATGGCAAAGCATGCTGGTTCCTTGACCCTGAGCCAGCAGGGCTTTCTGAGGGTGGGACACACTTGCAGGAGGCTGTTGGTGGACCATGGTTGCCTTGGTTGCCTCATCTGTCCAATGACACTTTCTTCATAGCTTCCGAAGGTGGTGAGAGAGTGCAGGCAACATGGTGGTGCAGAGCAGCTCTAGGGAAGGGAAGAAGGAAGAAGAGGGGTCCTCTGCAGGCCTTGCCAGAGCTTCAATGGTGAAGTAAGCCAGGAGTGAGCCCCTGCAGCCTGGGTCTCAAGCTGGTGGCCCCACAGTCGTTTCCCCACTCCCATGTTCTGATCTGTTCTCCAGAGAGTTTGTTAAAAATTAAATTAGTCATCAACATCAGTGATTCTGAAGGTTCTGAATTTCTGGCTTCTCTGAGATGACCTTCAGCCTGCAGAGTCAAAGGGCAAGTCATCCGAGCTGAACGGCTGCCACCCACCATGGGTGGGCCAGTGCCCAGATGGCCTTCTACTCTCGTCATCCATCACACATCTACATGGCCACAACTGTGCCAAGGTGGCCTCTGTCTCTTCAGCTAAAAGGAGATGAAGGAGGCCTGAGCATCTGGGCTTAGTCTGAGCTCATGAAGAATCACCAGGCAGATAACTTTGGCCGGGTGGACAGAAAGAAAACATCTTTTCCAGAAGTTTCTAACATAATTTAAAGTAGGAAGCTGCCTCTTGGACAAACAATCTCAGCAAATGCTCAGAACCAAGGGAGGCCTAGTGAGGGGAACCTGCACACTTCCACTCCTAGTCAGGAGTTTTCAAGACGAGATCCCTCAGGGAACAGGATTGGAGACCCTGTTCTGGTTTTAGGGGGTAACTGAGCCCAAAGAGAAGATGTGATTTGGTCAGGGTCTCATAGACAGGTTTCTCTTTCAGGGCTGTCTTAGTCAGTTTTGGCTGCCATGACAAAGTACCACAGACTGGGTGGCTTAAAGACCAGAAATGTATCTTCTCACAGTTCTGAGGCTGAAGAGTAAGATTGAGGTACCAGCTGGTTTGGTTGCTCATGACAGACACCGTGTCCCCTCATGGTGGAGATAGGGAGCAAGCCTCAGGATGCAAGTTGTTCCTAAGTTCCCTGTTCCTGTTAGGGCATCATCCCTAGTGAATCCTAGGCCCCACTTCCATTATGTCACCAACATAATCACTCCTTACTCTAACCACAGGCACTTTGGGGGTTAGGGCCTCCACACAGGAACATAGCAGGAGGCACAATTCAGACCAGAGCAGGGACACATCCATTTTTCCTTTTGAGGTGTTGCTATCCCCACTCGCTGGGGCCATGGCTCAGTCCTTGCAGGATAACCTGAAAGCACAGAAGTGCAGGTAGCAGCCTGGGGCATCAGTGATAGTGATGGATGAGAGTCATTTTTAACCCTCCCCTGCGAATGGTGCTCCTTGGGGTAGGTTCTGCACCATCCCTAAGAGAGCCCCATGGTTTGTGGCCATAACCCACTCCTTGAATTTTTCTTTTGAGGTTTCTCTTCCTCTCCCTCACTCCTGCTTCCTAGGATCCCTCAAATAAACCTCCCACACCCACATTTCCACCTGGGCCTTCTTGGAAGAGCAGGGGGGTGTTCAGCACTGCAGCATCAGCCAGACCCTTGGCTGCAGTGGTGGCAGTGCCCTGAGGCTGAAGCCAAGCCAGCACCTGCTTCCTCCCATGCAGGATATCACCAGCCTACTGCACACCATCTACGAGGTAGTTGATTCCTCCGTGAACCACTCGCCGACATCGAGCAAGACACTGCGGGTGAAGCTTACCGTGGCCCCAGATGGGAGCCAGAGCAAGAAAAGCGTCTTTCTCAATCACACTGGTGAGGGCTATGGAGTTGGCACCCGCTTCAGGAAGAACTTGAGCCAGCCTGGGAGGGAGGAAAGGGCCTGGGCTGGCACGGGCAGCTGCTTTGTGCACAAGTGGGCTTTGGCAGGAGTGGCACTGGGGTAGGGAGGAGGAGGAGGGAGGGAATTGCAGATGGAAGGCCCCGCGTAGGCAAAGCCATGAAGGTGGGAATGGGCATGGTGAGCACCACAGGGACTGTGGTGGACAGGGTGGTACGGCAGGTGAGGAGCCAGCTGCGGAGTCTGGTAGGGGCGGGGAGCAGGACAGGCAGCTGGGAGACCTGTTTAGTCTCAGTTGGGGACCTGCCACAGAGTTGTTGTGAAGCTGCCATGGGCCTGGAGCAGGCAACTCATCTGGTATTTCTTGTGCTTCTGGGGTGGGACTCAGACCTGCAGAGCACAAGGCCCCGAGCAGAGACCAAGCCTGCGGAGGAGCTGCGCAGCTGGGAGAAGAAGCAGCGAGCCCCCCTCAGGTATAGCAGCCATGAGCATGTATTGAGCACCAGCTGGGTACCTACATCTGAAGCATTCCAGGCAAGAGGCTCTGTTCCAGGCTATCTGTAGGGGGCCAACCATTTCAGCTATACAGGTTCACAAATTAAATTTAAAAAAATAAGTAGTTGTAGGCCCTCATCCCACCATGCAAAAACCCTTCTGCCCCAGTGTGATTTGGATTCAGATTTGTTGGGTGTCCTTGGCACATTTCCCATGCACAGGGGTTCGGGCAGTGCCCCAGGACCAAACATGCTGCTGTTACTATGCACATTCACACCCCATGAGACAAAGACCTTCTGTCTCTTAGGGTGGCTTGGCTGCCTGTGTTATGAGGAACCTTTGTTTTTAGGCTTTTGGGTTTCAGAACTGTGGGTGACAACTTGTGAGGCTGTAGTTAATCTGTCCCCTTTTGTCACTTCTGCAAAGAGGGAGGGAGAGGAGAGAGAGAAAGAGAATATTTAAAGAAAAGCGTTGAGTGATGGTGTCAGGGTGGTACGGCAGATGTGAAGATCTGTTTTCCCACCTGGTGCCAACAGGACTAGGTGGAGTAGGATCAGCTCTTCCCAGGGAGAGAGAAGGCATGCCCAGCTATGGTGCTATGTGGGCTGGCAGAGGGCTAGGATCAGGATATTCAGGCTGGCTGGAGAGTGGGGTGGTATGGGGAGGACGACTGGGAGGTAGATCAGATTGCAGATGTCCCTGAGGGGTGGGGCAGGAGTTCAGCATCCTTTAGGGGAGAAAGGAATCCTCTGGCAGTGCCCCCTCCATCCCTACTCTCCCATACACATGGCGAAGGGACCCATGTTGGGTTCTGGGGCAGGCTTTGATGCTACAGTCTGAAACTAACAGTTTTGGAGAACCAGGCCAGGGGTCAGCCACCTGCCTGCAGTGGACACAGTGGTTTGAAGCCTGGTTTGGGAGCATCCTTACATTTTGAACAATAACACCTCATCTTTGGTTTGGGTGCATTCATAGTCCCTGCCCATCCTTCCCAGCAGCACCAAGGAGGCTGGGCAGTGGGCTGCATCTCCCTGGGCAGGGGGGAAATGGAGACCCAGACTTTAGAGGTCATTCCCTCACCTCCTCCCAGGACCTGAGGAGAGTGAGTCAAAGGCCAAGCATTTGTCCTAGTGGCTTCCAGCAACCTGTTGGCCACCCAACCCAATAGTGGTGGCTGATGCCCACACATTCACTTCCTTCCCTACCACAGGTTCCAGGGCGACAGCCACCTGGAGCAGTCTGGCTGCTACCACCACTGCGTAGACGAGAACATTGAGAGGAGAAACCACTACTTAGATCTTGCGGGAATAGAAAACTACACTTCCCAGTTTGGGCCTGGTAAGGGACTCCCGCATGGGACATGGTGTGGAAGTGCCAGACTGACTGGTGGCCACTGCTCCCCCTTGGGCTAGCGACAATGGAACTCTTACTGGACAGGTCAAATATGCTTTTTGGAGGAGGTAACATTAAAAACAATTTCAAAAGGAAAGTAATACACATACAAAATTGAGTAAGATCAAATAGTATCTGAGGACTTAGAATGACAAAACAATCACTTCCTGTCCCCCCAACCCATCCCTGCCCTAGTACCTGTGGCCACTTTGACCTCTCTTGGCTGCTTTGGCAAGGGAAACGCTGCTGTCTGTCAGCCCTCCGTAGCCATGGAGCTTTTGCTAAATTTCACGCCTCCACTTCCTTCTCCCTTCCTCATGTGAATTTAATTCCTCTGTGGGTTCCTGCCGCATTTCATCAATATGCTTAGAATTCTTCTCCAGCCCGCTGACCGTAGTTACCGTGTCTCACTCTTGGAGGGGAACTATTCTTTTTGAAGACTTACTTCAGCCCGAGCTCTTCCCAGTTAGCAGACAGGAAAGTTCCACTTCAGAGAACTTTCCTCCAAGGCAGCCTGGCAAAGGAGGGTGGGTGCTGTGAGAAAGAGGAGCTGGCTTTTATCAGTCTTGGCGGAACTCGGGGCAGGCTCATCTCTGGGGTGGAGTACCTGCATACAGCAGGTGCTCATTAAATGTCTGTTGAATTGGTTCCTAGGCTCCCCTTCAATGGCCCAGAAGTCAGAACTGCCCCCTCGCACCTCCAACCCCACTCGATCTCGCTCCCATGAGCCAGAAGCCATCCACGTCCCACACCGGAAGCCCCAAGGTGCGGACCCGGGCTCCTTCCACTTTCTTGACACCCCATTCGCCAAGGTCTCTGAGCTTCAGCAGCGACTCCGGGGCACCCAGGACGGGAGCAAGCACTTTGTGAGGTCCCCTAAGGCCCAGGGCAAAAATGTGGGTGTGGGCCACGTAGCCAGAGGGGCAAGAAGCAAGCCCCCACTGGCACCTGCTGTCCCTGCAGTATCCCCCTCTGCCCATCTGGCTGCCAGCCCAGCCCTCCTTCCCACCCTGGCTCCCCTCGGGCACAAGAAACACAAGCACCGAGCCAAGGAGAGCCAGCCAGGATGCCGGGGCCTGCAGGCACCACTGGCCACAGGTGGTGCCATGGCGGGGCGGGAGCATGTGAGGGAGCTGCCCACAGTGGTGGTCTACGAGAGCCAGGCTGGGCAAGCGGTCCAGAGACATGAACACCACCACCACCACGAACATCACCACCATTACCACCACTTCTACCAGCCCTAGAGCCGTCCCTGCCCAAGACCCACCCGCCATATGAAGGACCCTCCCCATGCCCCAAGGCATTATTATTCTATTAATTATTGTTATTATGATGATTATTGTTATTAATAATTATTGTTACTCCACTAATATTTAGTTAGCCTTCATGTAGAAGATATATGGAAACACAGAACTAAACTTTTATTTATATGTTGTGGGGACTGCATAACTCACCCAAGAAGTGACTGTGGGCTTGGAAGGGGCCTGTAGATGGCAGAGGTTCCCTCGGGACTCCTGATTGTGGTTTCATGTGGATGTGCCTGCTTTTCTCAGTGCCACGGGAGCTGTCAGCCTAGGCTCTGCCCCAGCCCAGACCATTCAGGAGCACACTCTTCCCTGGCCTGGCTTCAGAGATCTCATGATCTCGGAGAGGACAAACAGCTGCTACCTCTTAGTGAATTCTGGTTTGATTTTGCCCTTAACTGACTGTAATGTGCTACGGGGTATTTCAGCGAACTGCAGATATGCGACCTCCCTGTTTTGTTGTGTTTTTATGTCCCAACCTAAGCTATCCTTCCTGGACTTCTCTTTCCCACCTTTCCAATGGGACGATGACATTGGCCCAAGCCAGCCCCATCTTTTCTGCCATGCAGCCACATGAAAATAACACCTCTCCTGCTCCTGCCCCTCCTTCTCTCTGCTTTTGAAAGATGCACCCACGTTTAACAACTATCCCTTAAACTGCTAGAGGGAACCAATCACATAAACAGGCATGGTTTTCCAAGATGGAGCAGTTGTGTGGTGTTGGCTGTGGCAGAGGGGTTGGAAACCTCATGTTTTACCAGTGGCAAACACCTACACATCTTTGTGGTTCTCTTAACAGCTTCTTGTATCTATAGGTAGATGCCACCTGTCCATATCGATATCTTTCTATAAATATACGTTCTCAGGTATCTTTGCTGGCATGCAGAAATCAGTGGTCTGCTTCTCTGGATGCTCCCTGAGCCTGGGTGTGACCCAGTGTGCCTCCTAGATTTCTGTCAGGTACCCATAGCACTTGCCTATCGACAGAGGTCCTTTCTTGGGGTTTTGTGTCTGCAGACTTTAAAGAGGCCTACTGGGGCACAGAAGCTTGGAGGGAGTGGGGACAATAGCCAGAGTTGAGCTCTTGGTGCAGTGTCCTTAACAGGGCAGTGTTTTGTCTGGTCAGAACCCAGGAAGACCAGGAAAAGAATCACTGACAATCTCACTATGGGCAATTTGAGGAGCATTTAATCAAGGGGTTACTGACAACACGGGGCAGAGCCTCTTGAGAGAGTGCGGAATCTGGGGTAGCACTGGATGCTGGGAGAGGTGTCATCTTCAGCCACAAAAGGTTGGGGGAGCTGGGGACCCTGGAGGAGCTGTGATGTTCACTCAAGGAATGTAGTCAGCTGTGGGACCCTGACCCACTTTTGCTGCTCTTAGTCCTATGAGGCCACTGGAGCAGATGGCTTGGGAGCATGTGGGTTTGGGTCACACGGGTATTCTGGGAGGGAGCCGGGAGTGAATCAGGACCCTCCCTCCTGCTGCTGCCTCTCCAGTGGGGTGCCTTCTTCCCAGAACCTCAAGTTTGGTTTTAATGTGATTGGAAAGCAGTTACTTCTGAAGGCAGGGAGCTTTAGTTGTCACTGTACTCATTTTACTCCAGGACTGGGTTGATAAAGCCCTTGAGAAACCATAAGGGGCAGGCAGCGGAAGCTCAGGGAGGTTAACTATCTCCCTTGACAAGACCACACAGTAGTGGCAGTGTTGGGTTCTAGGATTCCACAAGATCCCTTAACCACTGTAGAGAGTGTTATCCCTGGTTGGCTTGGGGTTGCGGCTTCCTCTTCTGTCAAGATCCAACTCCAGCAAGCTGAACTTGGAGGAAGGCAGGCAGGTAGGTAGGTGGATGAGATGACAGGCTCATGTATGAATGAAGCAGAGACTGGTTTGTGACCCTGCGTCTCTGGACTCAGACATGGCATTCTGGGTCTCACACGAGAAGGAGAGGACGTTCCACTAGAGGAAGCCCAGTGAAGGATTCTGATTGGCTGGGCTTACATTAGGTACCCCTGGATCAATCACCATTGCCTATCTGGGGGCACATGTTCACTGGGGCAGTATAGAAGACAGCAAGGGAGGGGCTCATGGCCCCCTGGCTATGACAATGGAAATGTGGAGGGATGGGACAGTGGGGCCTCTGGTTGACAGTGGTATCTCAACCTGCCAAGAGGAGGTCCCTTGTTGCCAACTCCTGCCCTGCACCTGTTAGGATTCTGTTATTTCTCAGAAACTGGAATTTACGCAACTTTCAAAAATCACTTATAAAAATAGTGATGTGCGCATGTAAGGTTAAGATAGCACGAAAAGTGTACAGTAAAAGTAAGCTTCACTCCATCCCAGCCCACATCCTCAGGTGCCTGCTTCTTGGTACCTGCCGGGACCTGTCAGCACAGTTTGGTGGTGGTGGTGAGTACAGCTGCCCAGGCTCCAGTCCTAGCCCCTTGGCTTCACACCTGGGGCTTCAAGTGCAGTGCTGTCAGTCATTTTCCCCTCTGTGATCACTGTCAAAGTGTTAGCTGTCCTTCATTACCAGAATAAATGCATTTATATGAAGTATCTTCACATTTACATTTTGTTTTTAAAATATTTCAAACACAGAGTATGAAACAGAAAATTGTCTACCAGTAATTGTGAGCTCCCTAGCCAGAATTTACAAATGCTGACATTTTGCACGATTCCGTTCAGATCTATTTTTAAGAATGAAAACCCTGAAGTGGCTGCCTAATCCCCTTCCCACCCCACCCTTTTATTTTTGCACAAGGAGCAGCATAGTATTCATACTTGTGCCCTTTTCTCTGCAACCTAATATTTGGAGACCTCCCCCTGGGTCACTGAGCTCTGTCCTCCTCACTCTAACAGCTGCTCAGCCTTCTCCTGCTTAAAGGCACTGTCACCTCCTGGCAGGCCTGTGGGTCATCTCTCATCCTGGGCTATGACAGACACACTGTGTGGAGGGTCCTTGTGTATGGCTTGTCTCAATGTTCACCCACAAGAGCACCAGTGACAGAAAGTGATAGAAGGTGTCGACACAGAACTGCTGAGTTCAAGTGTGATTTTTATTTTGATGCTATTGTTAGTGACCTCTAAAAGTAATTGTATCAAATATTTAGAAATTGAAGGAAGAGTTTGCATGGTGGCTCACACCTGTAATCTCAGCTACTCAGGAGACAGAGATCTGGAGGATTGAAGTTTGGGGCAAGTGTGAGCAAAAAGTTAGCAAGACCTCAATAAACAAATAAGCTAGTCATGGTGGCCTGCCTAGCTACATGTGCAGGGGGCCATAGTAAGAGGATTGTAGCCCAAGGCTGGCCCTAGGCAAAGCATGAGACCCTACCTGAAAAAAAAAATTAAAGCAAAAAGGGATGAGGGTGTGGCTCAAATGGTAGAGCACCTGCCTAGCAAGTGGGAGGCCCTGAGTTCAAAACCCAGTACCACTAGAAAAAAAAGAAATTGAAGGAAGAAGAGAAGAAGGGAGGGAGATAAGAGAGGAAGGAAAAGGAAAAGCAAACTAGAAGGGGCAGTCATGCTTCTTGGTAAGGTTTTCCTGCAGGTGTGTGGGGTAAGAAGTTTGGTCCTGTTTGCAGATCTGATGCTTGGGGAATGGGGGGGATCTCCTGGGTCTGGAGAAGCTGCGGAGGACAGGACTCAGGCTTTGTGAGCCTTGGACGTACAGGCACGTGGCACAAGCTGGTTGGCCGGAGGATGTCTGCTTCTGTGGCTGTCCCTAGGCACCGAGGATGTGTGGTATGTTCAGGGAGGCCCTTGGTGACAGGGCCTGCTCTCATCTCTCCAGGAGCATGGGGGTAAAGAGCCAGGGGCTGGTGCACAACATGTCAGCTGTGCCAATTAGACTTTTTGGCAAAGGGAATACCCAAGAGCAGTTTCTTTGTCTTCCCTGCTTTTCTTAGTGTTCAGCTCTCAAGTCATTGCTGGGCTCTAGGGAAGGCAAGCACAGAGGTGGCAGGAGGAGGGGGGCTGCCTACACCTCACCTCTGGAAGCCACATTAATAATGGCTCCTACAAGGCTTGACAGCACTTGGGGAATGAAAGGGGACCCCCAAATGTGCTCTGAACCAGCTGGCTGTGAGTGCTACCTACCATCCTCAGCTCCACAGCAGACCCTGAGGGACTGCCCATGCCTAAAGGCCCCAAGGCAGTATTGCCCTGAGTTCAGTCCTGCTCAGGCAGCTGCCCTGGCTTCAAAGGCCCTGCACTCACCCCTTTTCTGGATGCAGGCAGTGCTGTGTTCTGCAGAGCTGATATGAATGCTTCGGCCATCTGAATACCATGGCCAAGGTGCCTTCCCATTACTAAGTTATGCCGCTCCTGGTGGTAACACCCTGCAGTGTGTCTGGCCTGGCTTTTGGTCTCACCTTCCAGGCCAGTGGATCCTTAAACCCCACCTCTCTTCCAAAAGCTCACACCCTGGTTTTTCTGATTAAAATATCTCCCTGCAAATGGCTACCCATACACAGCTCCTTCCTCTAGAATGAGGTGGGGGTGAGTGTGAGACCTATTTCCAGTAGCAGCAGCTGGGCCTGGGAGGAAGTGGCAAAGCCTCCCCAGGCACCTTGTCTCCAGCAAGACTCCAGCGACCATAGGGATGTCTTCCTTTAGCTTCCACCTCCCACACAATAGAAACCTGCTAATCTAGCCTGGAGCCTGGTGGAGACAAGAGGGTCCCTACCTAGTTGTGAGTCCCTCCAGGCATGGCTTCGGCATAGGCCAAACTTTCGGGAGGAGAAGAGGGGCAGAGCAGAATGCTCACACCAGTGACTCTCATTCTGTGAGTACTGAATTCAGAATCAGCTGGAGGAATTTTCCAGAGACCAATCTGTAGGTCCACCTCTGAGAATGTTGATTTGCAGGTCCAGGGTGTGGCCTAGGCATTAAGATGTTTAAGGCCCCAAGGTGACATCCTATGTAGAGGCTGAGACCCTGGAGCCTTGCATCTCCCTGCAGATGAGCTAGGATGGCCCTTGGAGGGAAGTACTTCACTTCAGAAGCTGGGCGAATTTCCCTGGGAGCATGGTAAATGCAGACCCCCCAATCCACCTAGGATTGATGGGATTAGATGGGCCTGAGAATGGGGTGCAGGGACCAGTGCTTTTAACATGCTTTCTGCCCCCGGGAGCTGGTGTTGCAGCTGGGCCCACAGACCACTGTAAGAATCCCAGGACCTTGTGCCTTGGCACAGCAGGGACTTGGGGAGGATGGATGGCTTTAGGTGGCAGGGGAGACAGAGTGAGTCCCCCGACCCAGCCTCACTAGGGACCTCCAAAATGTCATGGATGTTGGAACAAGCAACCATGATCACACCAGAGCACTGGAGGACTCAAACACTCTCCATTTGGAGGCTGAGTTCTT